TATTACCCAGACCTGTAATTATAAGTGCCCTTTGCCCCGTCAGTCTTTGGAGCAGCAGAAATGTTTGTATACACACCAGGTTCAGCCTGGACAGATGCTTGATTGCAAGGTCCAAATTTTTTTCCAGAGAGGGTCAAGTCAGAGAGTTTCATCAATATGCAATAAGCAGGAAAGCAAAATTCTGTTTTAAAATAAGCAGGCTTGCTACATCCAAAACCAATGCCATCACATCTTAGCCCACAGGAGTCTCTAAAGAGATGCGGGGAGAACAACAATGAATCACCCACCTGGGTTTCACAGAGAGAAACATTAATCCGCTGTGCGCCACTGCACAGCGGACATCCACATTCAATAACAGGGCGCTTGGTCTTTGAAGAAATATTGCCTTTTGCTGCAGGCAAGGCTTGCCCCCACATCTTGTACCATTTTTAAAATCATGCTAAAATAACTGTGCCACTTTGTTTTCATATAGGACCCTGTTTACATTTGCAAAGTGCTTCACAAGCATCCATCAGCAATCCTTGCAAAGGTCGGCCAAACAACTTACCTTGGAGGCTCCTTTGGAGAGGATTACAGAGATGCCTGTTTGCAAATGTGAATGTCTAGCACAGTGGTTCTTAACCTTTGTTACTCGGATGCTTTTGAACTGCAACTCCCAGAAACCCCAGTCAGGACAGCTGGTGGTGAAGGTTTCTGGGAGTTGCAGTCCAAAACTCCTGAGTAACCCAAGGTTAAGAACCAGTGGTCTAGCACACCTCCACCTAGCTAGAAGGGGTCAGGAGAGCCAGGTCAGTTTAAACTAAGCCAAATGACACGGTATCTGGCAACAACAGTGGAAGATCACCCTTTTCTGCTGGAAAAATGGGAGTCCCGAGGAGGGTGGCCGCAACCCCAGCGCTGCACTCTGCCCACCCAGGAGGGGAAGGGCCCGAGAAGCCCGCCGTCTGCTGTCTCCAACGGAGCCCCTTTAGGCCGAGACCAAACAGGTTTACTGGTAATCCTGTCCCTGCCCGTGGCTTGACTGCCAGATCTCTCTCCACCCAGCTCAACTGCCCCCACCAAGCGATGGGCTACCACCCCTTACAGCCAGCTCTTATGCTTCCTTTCACCTTCAGACTTGCCTCTGCAGGCTCTCCTCCCAGGGGACGGCTCTCCGGGAGCCCTCAGGCCACCCTTCTCCAGCCTGTTCCTCAGGCCTCCCTTTGGTGCTCCTCCTCCTCCCATTCCCGGTGACCTCTCCTGCTTTTACCTATCTGTGTCGCTCGCCTTTGATCTTCCGGAACAGTTCCCTGTATACAGGAAGATGAAACACACACTATCTTGGAATGCCCTTAAAAACAACTCAAGTGCTGTTGCCACACTTTATTTTGACAGTAAGGATGACCTTCTACTGCTGCTTCTGAAGTTTTTAACTGTCAAATTGTTGTTTTAAGCTGCTTTTAATCTTTTAAAAATTATATTAATTAATTAATTTTGTTTAAAGTATGTTTATCCCGCCTTTCTCCTTAAAAGGGACTCAAGGAGGCTCACATCATTAAAAGACAGCATGTAAAGCTAAAAACAATGACACAAAAGCAGTTAAATAAACTAAATTTGTTTCTTGCTTCAGGGGAATATAGACACGTAAACAGGCAGATGGGACTTGATACACAAAGCGTGCTCAGTCCAAGCAAGTCAATGGGCCTGAGTCATACTTTGAATGATTAGGCATCATAGTCACAAAAGAAGACTGGATTCCTGGATGTTTAGGAAGCACTGCCATGGATGTAACTCCGGAGCAAAGTTTGCTCCACAGAAGCTTATGGTACAGACAGAGCACAAGTAACCTTCGAGTCCTCTACACACATGCAGGAAAGAACACCTGCCTTCACCTGGAAGTGGCAAACCCTTCAGGGTGCGTCCCTCTCTCTCCTTCCTGTTGGCGTGATCACAGGGAGCCCCAGGATAATTCTGCTAAATCAACCAGTTCTATACTGAACTGGTTATTTTCACCACTGAACCGATCCTGGATTTCACTTTCCCTTCTGTCATAGTTGTAAATATTGAAGATTTATTCAGTTATATGCAGAAATTTGCAGCCAACTTAATTCACTAGTGCCCTAGTGAGTTGGCCATGCCTTCTTCAGGTGACTTTAAAAAAGAATGAAGGACCAGCTGTGAAAGAAACCCCAGAACAAAAGCACTTTTCTAACATGTAAAACACAGCACTAAAATCAGACCCAATGCCACATAAGAATATGAATGCTTTAATATGATGAATTAAGAAATAACTACAAATGTAGCCGTGAATCTATTTGAAAACACATTGCTTATTTACGTCTAAACATTGAACACTCGTGATTACTGGGCTTCCATCTTTACTGTGAATCTTGCATTTCCCCCCTCCCTCTCCCAAAAACTAGCTTCCAATGCCCAGTGTCCTGCACTTATTTCACAAATGCCTATGCCAATTTTAAAAGATCAGGGTGATTTACTAGAACATAATGCAAGATAATAATCAAAGCTTGTTTTCATAACTTGAATCTTCCTGCTAGTATTTCCTATCGACTAAGACCTAATGAGAAGCAGATGTTTTATTGATACACTATCTGCGTTCTGAAGATTACAAACAATTATCTGAAAAGAATAGGCATCCTGCATTACAATCCATCACTTTATCACCAGAATACAGGCTACTGGTTTTGAAATTCATGTACAATTCTAAAAAAAATCAAAACTCAACACTTTATCAAAACCATATTCAGAAATGCTGGGGCAGGACATGATGTCCAGCCTGCCCAGGTAACATTTTCCATTATTTGGCAACAGAATGAGCAGAAAGAAAGGCCAAACGGATGCATGACAGTAGGAGCCTACCTCTGCACGACCACAGGGCATCTAGTCTCATGGAGAATTTTTTAAAAAGAGTGACATCCAAATAATTTTTGTATCCACTGTGTATCTTGTACAAAATGGAAGGCAGCAGGAAAAGAGGAAGATGAAACATGAGATGGATTGACTCAGTAAAAAGAACCCTTGGCCTTGAGTTCACTAGACCTTCATAGAGTCTGTTAATGGTAAGACTTTCAGGATTATTACTTCATAGGATCCCTATAACCTGGAAGCAACTGAACAGCACGTAACAACGGCGGCGGCGGCAGTATATCAGTACAGTACTAGAATGGCACGGCCAGTTGTCCCTTTAGATTAACACTAAATTCCCATAATTACATCCAAACCCATGGGGAAACATGTAATGTTACTGTTATGTACCATCAAGGCACATTGAACTCATGACAACCCTAACAATGTTTTCAAGGTATGCAAGATATTTAAGGAGTGGCTTTGCCACTGCCACTCACTATGGCAGAGAGGGATTTGAACCCAGGTCTCTGCCCACGACATAACACTGGCTCTACACATAGGCTCCATTGCTTATAAAAGGGATCAAGCAATCCTCAGAGTTCTCTCTCATTTTGTCCTAAACACCTTTCAGGGATAGAGCAGCCAGAAAAACATCTTTCCTTCTACAACCGGAAGCAGCATCCCATCCCTGCATTTACCTGAGGCACCTGCAACTACAAGCACAGGCATTTTCACAAGAGCTGCCACCGCCCTGCTCAACAGGAAGCAACTTCACCTGAAGCTCATAGGCTTTGTTTATTATTCATCACCCCAACTGGATTGAGCAGCTCTAACTGCAAAGTCTAAATGCAGACTATGCAAATTTCACAGCAAGCTAGTCCCACTATCTTGCTTGCTCCTTAGTAAGCGTGTGCAGGATTGTCACCTAAGCTTATTGCTCCAGCATAATCAACAGAACCATGACAGGTAGTCCCGACAAGATTAAACCCACTGAACCAAAGGGCTGCATTGATTGTTAACCCACCATTCTGTAATCAGTTGATAAGTCTACTCTGATTGGAGCCAGCAATAGGATTTGGGCCAGTCAAATCAGAATTTCGTGTTAGAAGAGATCAAAAAGTTAAAATGCAGCAGATCATTGAGCTCAAGCTGCAAAACGTGAGTTGCTAGCACAAAATGTCTGCATTTCGCACCCCTGCCTTAAAACACACACAAGAAGTGGGTCTCTACATTCCCACAGCTCATCAGCCATTAGTCTTTCTTCAGCCTTATATTCTGACTCAAAACA